CGGCTACTACATTGGCTTTTCCTTCATGGTACTGAATCACCAAATCATAATCCTTGATCAACTCCAGCCAGTGTCGTTGTCTCATATTCAATTCCTTTGGGGTGAAGATGTATTTCAGGCTCTTGTGGTCTATATAAATCTTACATTGTACCCCATAAAGGTAGCGTTGCCAAATTTTGAGGGCAAAGACAACTGCAGCCAATTCCAAATCATGGGTAGGGTAGTACACCTCATGGGTTTTTAACTGCCTAGAAGCTTAAGCAATCACTCTCCCATTCTACATCAAGACGCACCCAATTCCTTTCTTTGAAGCATCACTAAAAACCTCAAATCCATCTGTCCCTGAATGTAGTGTCAATATTGGCGCTGTGGTCAACCTCTACTTTAACTCTCGAAAGGATATTTCACACTCGTCATCCCACTGAAATTTGACTGTCTTTTTTTGTAACTCGGGTCAACGGTCGAGACAGTACTGAAAAGTCTTGCATAAATCTTCGGTAATAACCTGCCAATCCTAGAAAACTCCTCACCTCAGTTACTATTTTAGGTACGGGCCATTCTACCACGGCTTTAACCTTTTCCGGATCCACCGAGATGTCTTCCATAGTGATGAAGTGTCCTAAAAATGCCGCATTATCCTTCCAGAATTCACACTTCGACAATTTTACATAGAGCTGATGATCTCTTAGGGTCTGTAAAGCGGTCTTCAGGTGCTCCACATGGTGCATGGGATTTTTGGAGTAAATCAAGTTATCATCTATGAATACCACCACAAAGTCATCCAAATAAGGCCAAAATACGCGGTTCATCAAATCCATGAACACGGCAGGTGCATTAGTCAATCCAAATGGCATTACCGTGAACTCATAATGTCGTTTCCGAGTACGGAATGCTGTCTTTGGTATATCCTTACTTACCACTTTCAACTGGTGATATCTTGATCTCAAATCAATCTTTGAAAAGACTCCAGCCCCTCTAAGTTGGTCAAACAAATCATCAATACGGGGCAATAGGTACTTGTTTTTCACGTTGACTTGACTCAACTCTCGGTAATCGATGCATAGTCGCAAAATCTCATCCTTCTTCTTTACGAACAGAACTGGGGCTCCCCATGGTGAGACGCTTGGCTTAATGTAACCCTTTTCCAGTAGATCTTGTAATTGCTCCTTAAGCTCCAACATCTCCTTTACTGCCATTCGGTAGGGTACCTTTGAAATGGGCAATGTACCTGGTAATAAATCAATAGAGAACTCTACCTCTTGATCTAGGGGCAATCCTAGAATCTCCTCAGGGAATACAACGTGGAATTCTTCTACCACAGCGATGTGCTCGAGAGATTCCTCCTTAATGCTCAAGTCCTGGAGGGTAAAAAAATATCCCTTGCTCAAATAATTCCTCATCTTGACCATAGTTAAAAGCTTCACCCCAAGTCTCCCAACTCCACTTTTGTATGACACATACACTCATGCGGGCCATCTCAACACTACTTTCTGCTCGTCACATAGGATCTTGGCTCGGTATTTACTCAACCAATCCATTCCTAATACCACATCCATATCTTCCAATTCAAAATCGATGAGGTCTCCATGAAAGGTTACTCTAGATATAATGATAGACACGCTTTCATACACATCCCCACATGCCATCACTATCCCAGAAGCCAACTTAACACCCATATCTTCCTTGTAGGTCGGTTGCAACCCCAACTTGCTTACAGAGGTGGATGCAATAAAAGAGTGGGTAGCACCAAAGTCGAAAAGCACTACCGCCGATATGGTATTTATCATGAATGTGCCCGACACCACTTTTGTTGCCCTCTCCTGGTCCTGGCGCAAAGCGATGATGGCTTCTTATCCGTGGCCATCATCTCGCCTCGGTTCCATTTCCTCCTTTTTGTTCCACTGATTTCTCTTTTTCCTCTTCCAACTACCACACTTGGCAACTTCCCTGGTTGGCCCCAATTCCCCAAAGATGTCCATCTTGTTTTCTTCTCAAAGGTCGGCTCACTTTCCTCGATCTTTCTTTTCCTCTTGCTGTGTATATCAAATTGTGGCGGTTGGATCTCATCATGGCTGGCTGCATTCTCATAAGCTTGTTGTAGGGTTTGGAAGTTCATTACACTTAGGATATCTTGTGTGTATGCATTAAGCCCACGAAAAAACTTGCGAGCTCGGGTAACCTCATCAGGTGCTATGCTAAATGCAAACCGCACCAACTCCAAGAAACGAGCATGGTACTCCTGATCAGATGACCCTCCTTGTTTCAAGTGTAGAAATTCATCATACACGGCGGCTTTGACGTGCTCGGGTTATAACCTTTCTCTTAGTTCTGCCTTAAACTCCTCACATCCAAAGTCTTTTACCTGCCGAAGGGCTGGCCCATCCATACACCACCAATTGTTCGCCTCCTACTGTAGGTAGTACACTGCTGTGTCAACACGCTACTCAGGGAGACAACTGACAGCTTCAAACAGCTTGTCAAACGTGTGAATCCAGTCCTCAAGGATTGCCGGGTCCTCTTGTCCCATAAAACTCGGCGGGTTACGTCCAGCTACTCTTTTCATCGGGTCTCCTCCATTGTTCCCATTCAACAAAGCGTTTCCTATCACTTGTGTTAACCGGGTCAGCTGACGGAGGCTCTCTACAAGCTCAACGGTAGACTAGGTTCCAACTCCCGGGGTACGAGGGGTTTCCTCTCTCCTTCTTGGCAGCATCTTGCCGACCCCTCAAGCTACAGAATTAACACCTTAGTTAATAATAACCAAGGGTTATTCTCACTATTTCCTATTCCTAAAAGGAACAACACTTACAACAAGAAGGTACACTTTAGCAAATTACAAGCTCTACTTTCATACCAATTCATCAAAGAGACTTACCACATAAATGCACACCTTTCGGGCGCAAAGCCACTTCCTTACATAAGATAAGGTAATGCACATATACACAAATCATCAAGCATGCACAAGTAACTCTCCAGCTCATCGCGTCTCCTAAATGAATTAGAAAACCTTAATAGGCTGTTTGATTCACGGAATAGGCCGGAAATGGCAAAACATTCCCAGTAATGGGCCTATTCCGTTGTTTGGTAAACATTTGTATTCCCAGGAATAATGTTCCTGGGAATGGTCCATTTCTTATCCAGGGGGGAATAGCTATTACTGGACCCCCTGGTATTAGCCTATTACTGAACGTTCAAGAATATGTTTTATATTCTATTTTCTTTTTTACCCCTTTTTAACCTAAAAATATTTTACGTTAATCTTTCTCCCACTCACTCTCATCTTCTCTCGCCATTGCTCATCACATCTTATCTCGCCATTACTCTTCGCATCTTCACTCGTCACTCTATAATCGACATCAAATTGAAATTCTTCATTAAGGGGCTATATCAAGGTATTCTTCAAAACCTTTTTTTTTAATAAATTAAGTATTAATATTATAGAATTAATTTATATATATATATATATATATATATATATACACACACACACACACACACACACACACACACACACACACACACACACACACACACACACACACACACACACAATCTGCTGCACTCAGCAGTATATAGACATGTACAAAGTAGTATATATATTAATTGTATGTTTTATTTTCTATACTTTTGTAATTTCTATGTATTGCTGTTTTATATTTGTTTATTATAATCTGTATTTGAATATATGTGTTTTTGATACATTATGTATGAGTTATTGTTATAGTGTTGAGTATTGTAAGTTTTAAATTTAATTTGCAGTTATGGCTCGATTGCTTTAATAACTCGTACTGAAAGAAAGAAAAGATATGTAGTTGTGTTGCGTGTGTGGTTGGATATGTGTGCTTCTATGAGTTTATTATTTATAATAATGATGTCTACCTTGACTATTTTGTGTTCTAATAAAAAACGAGTGAAATCTTATATTATTAATACTTTAGGGTCTCGAGAGTTTATGTTACGAATGGTGTATTCGTGTGATAAAAATGTATATCTCAACTTAGGATGAATCGACATGCTTTTGTAAAGTTGTGTGCAATGTTACAAACTATAGGAGGGTTAAGGCCAACAAGAAATATGCTTGTTGATGAGCAAGTAGCAATATTTTTTCATATTATTGCTCATCATGTAAAAAATAGGATCATTCAAAACAATTTTCAAAGGTCGGGGGAGACTATTAGTCGATATTTTAATATAGTATTAAATGCTATTTTGGAACTCCGAAATCATTTATTCAAAGATCCTGAACTAGTTCCAGCTACCTCTACAGATCATAGATGGAAATGGTTTAAGGTACTTAAACATATCCCCTACACTTGAGTTAAACATATAATTACAATGTGAATGTGTATTTAATAATATTTGATATTATTTCTAGAATTGTCTAGGCGCTTTAGATGGAACATTCATTAGAATACAAGTGCCATCAGAAGATAAACCTAGATACCGATCTTGCAAGGGTGAAATTGCAACAAATGTATTGGGTGTATGTACACCTAATATGCAATTTGTGTATGTTTTTCCGGGATGGGAAGGATATGTAGCAGACAGTAGAGTTCTTCTGGATGCATTATCTAGAAGGCATCCACTTAAGGTCCATAATGGTAAGTATTACAATATTCAATTTCAAATATAATGTAATATAATATGCATTCTTATTAAACTATAAAATTATGTTTCTAGGTTGTTACTATTTAGTTGACGGAGGATATGCTAATAAGTGAGGGATTTTTGGCACCATTTAGAGGTCAAAGGTACCACTTAAATAAATAGTATCAAGGTCATCAACCGAAAACTCCTCAAGAGTTCTTTAATATGAAACATGCAGCTGCTCGCAATGTCATAGAACGGTGTTTTGGGTTATTGAAAATGAGATGGTCTATACTTAGAAGCCCATCATTTTATCTTGTTAGAATACATAAAAGAATTATACTTGCATGTTGTTTGCTGCATAAATTTATTAGAAATGAGAAGAATGTTGATCCTATGGAAGATGAATTGGTACAAGGTAACAGAATACATGAAGATGATGATATTACACAAATAGAGACTTCAGAAGTTTGGAATAATTGGAGGACATAATTAGCAAATGACATGTTGAATGAATGGATAACATCTGGAAATTAATGACATGTTCATTGATGTTTGATTTTTTTTTTATTTTTTTATTTTTGGGTAATATGGCGTATGAACAATGTAATGTGTTTAAGTTTGATGAATAAGTTATTATTTCAATTTATTTGTAGTTAAGAATGAATTCTCCCCCTACATCTGCAAACATTGGCTCTCAAAGTGTTAAGCAAACAAAAAGAAAGTGGACACCCGAAGAAGACATTATATTAGTGTCATGTTTGACCGAAATGCATAATGCAGCGAAATATAATTCCGATACACGGTTTAAGACAGGTTATTTATTAGAACTTGAAAGAATGATTTTGGAACAAATACCAAATTGTACTATTAAAGCTAAGCTACATATCGAGAGTAGAATTAAAACATTGAAAAAAGAATGGGACATTATTCATGATATGGTGCAAGATAAAGACACTAGTGGGTTCGGTTGGAATGAGCAAAAGAACATGGTTTATGCTGAAGATGCAATTTGGGAATCATACTTAATTGTAAGTATTTACCATTTTTTTTACTTTCATTTATTTTTATTAATGTATACGTACTAATAATTTATTTTATATGTTTATTATAGAGTCACAAATAAGCTACACCTTTGTATGATGAAGCTATTGAGATATGTGCTGAGAATATGCTTAATGCTACGAAGCTAATAAGCAATACAATGTCAGAGGTTGGTAAGAACTTGTCCGATGGTCTTCATTATGATCATGATATGGATATGTTTCAGAAGCTTGAGCGTGCATTAAAAGATGTTGATGATTTGACTTATGATGAAATGGACCTCGTTTCGTTTAAGTTCACTGATCATACTAATAAAGTAGTTTTTTTTTTCTCAGTCTTGATCCTGATCGAAGACTACAGTGGATAAGAAGATTCCTTGCTAGCAATTAATCATTCTTCATATTTATATTTTATGAACATTGCTACTATCATTAGATTGTTTTGAGTATTTTTTTAAAAATAACTTATGTTATTCTTCTTCTGCGTATTATTAAATGTTCTTTACAAAATTTTGTAATTTATTTGAATATTTTGTTTCATAATTTACAGATCATTGTTTTAATATTGTTGATAAGGAATAATGGTGATATGTTATTAGCAGCAAGTTGACCTGATATGATGATGATATATTAATTAGTAGTTGATTATGGAATGATGATTAATTGATGCCTAATAATAATAATTATAATAATAATAATAATAATAATAATAATAATAATAATAATAATATATTTTGTACAAGGGCATTTATGTCTTTTAAACATATATTCCTTTTCTATTCTTTAACCAACCAAATGTTGGAATACAATTCCTAAATTCTATTCCTTTAGCCAACCAAACAATAGAATACAATTCATATTCTATTCCTTACCTATTCCATTCCTTATGGAATAACATTCCTATTCCCTTCAAATTTATTCCGTGACCAAACAACACGTAAAGGATTTTAGCTTAAAGTTCCAAGCTTAAGTACTCCTCTTATAGACCATCTTTCCTTGGCTCCTATAGTCACTTTTTCACTTCCCTAGGATGTCAACCTAGAGCTCTGATACCAACTTGTAACACACCCAAAATACAACATACGAGCCTAGATAAATTCATAACTTAAAGGTAGAAACATGGGTAAGGATATAGCTAGAATTAATGGGATCATCATCCACTAAGTATCTGTGGATGCTACCACTATAGCTATCCATACTCAGATGGCTACCCGGCTAAGATACAAAAGATAAATCTCCCAAATAAAAGGATAGGGTTCACAGACCCAAACAGCTTGAGTCACAACTCAACAGCTAGCATAACAAGGCTCACAAGCCTAAGTGTATAAGCACTAACCAAAAACATAAAGTATATTACAATAAGTCCATAGTCTAATCACCAAGCCAGACATAAGCTAATGGTAGCTGAACACTAGGAGTTAGAAGCAAAAATACTAGAATGATTTTTATCTACTTCTACGCGCGCTCAGCATTCAATCATCAAGTCCTGAAATGGGTTAAGTAAAAGCATACAAAAGGAACCCGGTTAGCATAAAATGCTAAGTATAAACCACTCAACCCTGTAAAGTAAATATAGGTTTGGAAAATAAGTAGTTTTGACATTTACACATAACTTTACACGTAGGATCATAGAGGATAACACAAGTATATATATATATATATATATATATATATATATATATATATATGTATATGTATGTATGTATGTATGTATGTATGTATGTACATACCAACTAAATAGACATATAGATGTGAATAGAGTAAACTCACCTACATGCTTACACAGTTAACAGACATCCTTTAAGTGTTCATACTCCACACCAATAGAAGTGAGTAAAGAATAGAGTAAACGGAATAGGAATTCATAAGTAAGGAAGTATCAAAGTAAAGTGATCTTAAAAGATATATGTTTATACATATATATTTATATTTAATAGATACACTCACCCTCGAGAAATGTATCATTTGCTTTATAATAATAATACTGGAGGTAACATAATCATTCTCACATCTGTATCATAAATCTCATGGATCATAACTGTATCATCAATATCATCTGAATCATCATAATGGTGGGGAGGCAGGAATTTCACCATACGTGAATGAACCTATCCGGGCACGGTAGTACATGACCGGCATAATATCATCTCGCCCACAAAAAACATTCATTTTGGAATCAGGACCGTACCTTCAGTGTGCAGCCCCCTAACTGGGATTCCAAGCCCAACGAGTAGTATCGAAGCCCTAGTAGCCCAGGATTTTTTTACCAAGCTACTTCATCAATTACTGTCCAGGATTTTACGACCGGACTCACTTTCATCATATCATTCATCATTTCCTTCCGAGGGAACAATAGTTCCAACAGGACCACCAAAATATACTTTTCCTCACACATTTGAAAATATAAGTAGTATAGCATTCTAAGACCGTTCTTTCTAAAACAAATTACATATTTGATGCTCATTTTGGAAATAGGATATAGATATAGCGTTCGAAAATAGGGAAAGGGATAGGTGATGGAAGTATAAGTTTTATTTGATAAAGGATGGGTAAACATATACATATACAATACCTTATATATAATTAAAAAGGGGAATAATTATATATAAGTGTTGTTGTAATTTCGGCCTATCAACTTGTTAGTTCTCGCGTGATAGTTGTACGGTAACGCATCGATTGTATGTATGAAGAATATTGCAATATGGAATGGAAGAGTAGAGAGAAAAATATAACACAAGAATGTAGAACTCAAGAACACAAGTTCACCCTTTCATTATGCCTTGAACATGTATATATATACATCCATATAACCCTTCATTTTCTATAACATAAATAATGGAATAAATATAAGGCAAATGAAAGGTCTTGTGATAATGGCCATAATAATAATAATATTTATAACACTCCCCCTTGGCCATTATCAAACTATACTCATGCCTCGTTAAAAACCTCGCTAGAAAAACCCAGTGGGAAAAACCTAGACGAGGAAAAGAGTACACGAAGTATGTTGATCCATGTGTTGCACCGGTTGCCTCATTAAAAACCTTAGCCTAAGAAAACCCAGTGGGAAAAAAACTTAGCCAAGGAAAAGAGTACAAACATAAGCCTTCTGGGCATAATCTTCAAGATTTCAAGAGTCTTCAGGACTATCCACTCAAGTGCACCAACATCGGTTGCCTCATTAAAAACCTTAGCTTAAGAAAACCCTGTGGGAAAAACTTAGCTAAGGGAAAAAGAGTACAACCATATGCTTTCGTAGCATAATATTCAGGATATCAAAAGTCCTCTAGATTGTCCATTCTAGCACAGCTAGGCGTTGTCGCTCCCCCTGAAGATAACAATCTTCTAAGCCCACGCATCCCAATTTTATGAACATATTACTCAAAAGTGGATGTAGGCAGAGACTTAGTGAACATATCTGCAAGATTGTTCAGTGGGGAAAACATTCTCAATAAGAATTTTACAACTCTTCTAGAGTTCATGTGTGTAGAAGGATTTAGGTGCAACATGTTTTGTAAGGTTCCCCTTAACAAAACTATTACTTGCTTGTGCAACACAATCTTATTTGTCCTCATATGGGACATTGGGGGTAAAAATATAACATAACCAGTTCTGAACTTGGCATCATAGGGATAAAATAAAAGAGCTAATGCCCAAGTTGCCCATCAAAACCACATATTGGTTTCTCACATAAACGTCAAAATCTTTGTACCTCGAAGGTGTTGGAGGATATGTTAAATACCATTCCAATTTTCATTGTAGGGAGAAGCACTAAATCTTGCTAGCAATTTCATCGCAAATTCAATATCAGGCCTGATGCGATTATGGAACTTCTAGTTCAATAATAGTGCTCCAATAGCAATGAAGTAATGGACTTCCGGTCCCTAAATATCCTCATTATAACCTTCGAGTCTAAATGGTCATTTATCTACTTCAAGAGATTATTGGACAACCGTTTGTGTGATAAGTAAATAATACTTGTCTATATAAAACATCTTCAAGATATTTTTTTAAGTAGGCTAACTGGTGTATAAAACTTCTTCAAGGAGAAGCTCGATCTTCAGGTCGAGACAATACTTGGATTTCTAAGTCTTTTATTTTAAAACTCCATCTTTCGGCATGAGCTAATATCACCAAGCTCTCTATGTGTTTCAATGATATTTAAACCATCAATATCGACTGAGATGATAAATAAATAACTCCATTAGCAATTCTTTAACGAACACATAATGGTACATATTATTTATACATTCCTTCTTCGGGAGGAAAACACTCAGTCAATAATATTCAAGTCATACAAACACTTTAGTAGTTTAATGATACACGTTGAGATTTTCACTTTCCACATTCCAAAAGTGTTGAATCCATCGGGGAT